AAATAAATAAATTTGGGTGTTGATGTGTGTAACGCGCAGGGTAACGCGTTACCGGGTTCCCACGCATTTACCGGATGTATGACTTGTGTATGGTCCTCATGGTTTAGTTCATCGCAATTTGGGCGAATGCCACCGAAAAATGTCTGAGTTTCTGCAATCCGTTTGATTGAAGTGGATGGAACTATGTGAATCAGAAGTTTAGAATCAAATGGTTTGAAAGATCACAGTAGTCAGTATCCTATCGCTATCTCTGTTGGTTATGCTCTCGCGTGCTTATCTCTCACACGCTCGCACTCGCTGGGATTTTACTATACCTAAATTTTTTAACTTCTAAGACGTCTGCCACTATTAAAGTTACACTTAATATCGTCTGCCAGGATATATTTTAAAGTAGTGACAAAAAGAGGAATTTTTTATGTATACTTTTTATACGGTCCTCATGGTTTAGTTCAGGGGTGTTTTTCCCTACATTGGAGGGCGTCTTTCGCTACCAACGCTGCACTTGAAATCGTCTGCCATAGCATATTTGAAAACTATGGAAAAAATGGGATTTCTTGATACAAATCTTTTCCGTGACCCTTATAGTTTGTTAATTTAGTTGATCACCTAAAGAAGTCACCTATTCAGCGCCGCCCCAAGTTAATGCTGCCATTTACGACTGGCAGACGAGTGATTTTATTATTAGTTTTCAACGTACTTTCAGCCTGTATTGTCGAATTTTTTGTCGCTTATGGTTTAGTTACTATGTACACTGCCTCCCGGTCTATAATGACAAACCCTAAATTATTTATATAGCAACAAACTACTACCTTAGATCAAACAAAATGAGTTATTTAGTTTAAAGATTTTAATACCTATAACATATATTATAGGTATACTATCTGAACTGTGAGTACAATAATTTCTCTCAATTTGTTTTAAAAGGGGAAACGTTTAAGTGGCAAATATTTTAGAAATCCCGATAGACATAGAGGCTATAAGAAACGAAAGCGGATATGACCGTTTGTATTTATACTCGTATTTATGCTCGTAACGCATTTTTTTCCGGGAAATATGACGTGTTTTGTTCGAGAACATTCTAGAATACTGGTTTGGAAGCGTTCGAAAACTTTCGGGAAACAGGGGTGTATTCTATATGAGTAAATCGAATTGTGTTTCAGTCGGTTCCAATTTCAACGCTGAAGTAGTAAATAGTTCCCGCTGTTGTAAGTTGTGTATATTTAATTGATAAATAATAGGTATTTTAACTCTATTCATTTCAAGACAATGTTATTATTAATCAATTGTAAATAAATAAACCACGTAATTAAATTTACGTTACATTACGCTTTGTTTTCTATGTAAATATACTTATATTATTTTGTCTTGATAATTTTGTAAAAGTTGGTGTATTATTGACTATTCAAAAATCTGATATGGGGCGCAAAATCCGTTAAGACTTAGGGCGTTGTTGACTCTTAATACGCCACTGACCTTACCTCTCGCCGTTGGTACATTACCTTCGCCGAAGATTGCTAAAACCTCGCACTGTCGCACATTATTGCCTGCTTGAAAAAAAGTCAGGGAATTTTCCCAAAATTAAAATTTTTTTAATTTAAATCTAGGAGTCTGTTTGTTCGAAACACTTTATGTCGAATTTGCCTTCGGATCGCTCGGCATTCTTACACAAGGAACCTTGTCATTTCAGTCCCAATGGCCTTATCTTTTTCGCCATTGGTACATTTTGCTCACCGAAAATTACCTAGCGAGCCGAAGGCGAGTTCGGCACAACCCTCGCACATTATTGCCTGCTTAATTCAGGGATTTTCCCCAAAATTTCAATTTTTTATTAAAATCGAGAGGTCTGTCCGACGTCCGTCGCCTTTTGGTCGAGATACTTTATGTCGAACTCGCCTTCAGCTCGCTTGACATTCGTACACAAAAAAGCTTGTCCTTGCAGCCTCAATGGGTTTGGCTGTTACGCAATTTTCGCGCTAAACTCGCCGAAAATTGCCGAGCGAGCCGAAGGTTTGTTTCACATGCCAAATTTTAGTAAATTTAATGCCCTACAACTTTATAATGCACGATGATACCAAAAATATTCTTAGTGTACGAGATATAAGCGAAAAACTGAAAAAGGCCGAAAATGTTGGGGTTCTGCCCCCCTCCAAGTTAGTGCACACGGTCCTCGAGGTCGAAAACTTAAGATAGACATTCTATATAGTGTACCCCCAAACAACCTGTTAAACCTCCATTAGGTAACTTTTTGGGTTATAAATCCGGAGGTCGTGTGTTCGAACCTGGGTTGAGGTGAATTTTTCATCTGTGGCGGAGATGGAAATTACCTTAGACCAGTCCAGTTCCGAGCATTCTACCGGCTACTCCGAATTAGGTTTTCCTGCAGTTTTCCTAATTCGTAAGATAAATGCCGGAGTAGTATAGACCAACTTAAGACCTTCTGCAGAGGCACCTCTAAATAGCATTATGCGGGTCACTCTGTAATTGGGCGCATGTCTGTTGAGGGCCCAAAACAAGAGAGGGATAATAATAATAATAACTTTGGAATGCTTTCCAGCTAGCTATGTACTTCCTATTTTTCAGTATCTCGATTGGACTATTATCGAATTTGGGATTTTTAGTAACAGTTCCGTGTTCGCGGATCACATCTTCACTTATTCTTGTTTAGCTTTAGACTATCAGAGGGGATTCCGCCCAGTATACCTATATTAGGTATGTTATGGCTCTTCGATGCAATTTTTGTTCAGTATTTATGTGCTTTATTATAATGGCTTTATTAGTAGAATCATCCTATGCTTAATTGAGATTTAAATGTTGGTGTTAGTATATGAAAACCTCTTCCGCAAGCCGAGCACCTTCAAAATTTTGATAGAAGCCGTATTTTTCTGCTGTTTTTAAGAAATTTAACAACAATTTCCAGTTTTTTTCCCGCACCCAGACATTTTTGATTCGCTTCCACTTTAGGTAATTCTTTTATGTGTTGTGTTATGATAAGAATCTTGCTCTTGTTGTCTGTTTTCCTGACATTTAAGGATACCTAGGTATATACCACGGATATCGTAAATTATTACTTTTAGGCGTAAAGTTGAATTGGACTCAGATAACGGCAACCAATCCTGCACATGATATCCCTAAAAGTTTAGAATTGAATAGGTTGTAGCTGGACAATTTATCGTGTAGGTACCTTTTTGCGCATTGTGTGGACGAAATCGCATACCTAACTGATGGTTATCTGCCCCCTCGTAACCGGCTTCTTTCTTTCCATACACTGTTTACTTATAACATATAAGCAGGAGAGTGCGAATCTTTTCCTATACCCGTCACGCGATTCTAATTCCTAAACACAGGACGGACTGTGTCCAAGTGGAACTGTCCGCCCCATCGATTATATCTATTTGCTCTTTTAAGAGTGGCGCTCAAAAATCGAAATTACTTGTAAATGAAAGCTCGTAATTCCAGTACAAAATTTAATTTGAAAAAAGTAATTCTGATCAGTGGGGGGGGGCTGATCCAAGTAGACTCGGCCACCCCATAAGAAATGTTCGATTGCTAGTGATTAAAGCGAGCTCTAAAATTTTAAGCTTGCGATATGAAAAGCTCCTAAATAGCTCATAAATTGGATACCATTCTTAAATTGATTCACAATGGGGGGGGGGGCTAGGTCTAGCGGGGTTAAACACCCACTAATTGTCATCCTATAACGCTGATATTAAAAATAACGACGTTATAATAATTTATTTTGAAGAAAACACTTACATAATTATTTATGGCGACGCATTGTTAATTATTTGACAACCACTCTTAAAACAAAAACAAAACAATATGGGACGCCTATCGTAGTTGGCGGGAACGCGGCCATGCCTTCTGCCATGACTTTGGCTCCTAGGGAACAACTGCCCTCGAATAATAGAAGTGGCGTTACAATCCTAATTACTGGAAATTATGCTAGGGGTGGGGTAGCAATCAATCTATTCCTATTCCCTATTAATCGGTATACGTTCAAGGGTACGTAAAAATTGGGCAGATAAAAAACCAAAACAAACACTTTCCTGTGGAAGGTCAAAAATATTTCGCCTCCCCAAAAAACTCAAAATTTTTTGCTTTTTTGTGTTCTGTAAGAGTGATGTGATGATGCGTTTGGATGTGCGTAGGCCCATTATTTCATTTTTATTTAATTATTTACCTAGGACTTACAGGCTGTATTCAGCTCATAAAAATAGTGGGGAATATTGCGATTTTTTAGTTGTGCAGTCCAAAATTACATTTGAAATATTTTAAAGCAAATTTTCAATAAGTTTAGATCTGATGATCAAAGTAGGCCTTTAAATACAAGAATAGCTGTGAATGGAATCTGTTTACTCCCCTCCTTAGGGATGTCTCATCCTAACAGTAGGATACGAGGTAGGATCACAAAACGAAACCCGAAAGCGGATATCATAACAAATATGAATGAACTTGACTTGTTTGACAAAATTCTTTTTTTCGTCCAAAACCATAAAACTGTGGAATTAGCTGTAGATTTTAGTGAAATTCAAGCTGAAATTAGTTATATTATTTGTTGCTAGTTGCATAATTGGAAGTGTACATGATTTTGAGTAAGTGTAAGCACAATAAATGCTGCCTCCTCAAACTTTTTTTTGGGCCTACCTAAATGCCCACCCACAAAATTCATCCTAACTAGGTGTCTACCATTGTATTATCCTGTTCTGGATTGTAAATGTCTCCCGGTTTGTAGAGGGCAATATCTTATTTCTATGCCATTGTTTTTCTTGCGTCCAGCATGCAGTATTCAAATCTCAAGTGTTTATTACTAATTATCAATGTATGTTTGGAAGGATTGCATACATAAAAATGTTATGCCAACGTTGTATTAACACATTTTGAAATTGGAAGTGAGAAATACTCGGAGAAATACTTTTGTTCTTCAGTTCCTAGTGCTTTATGTAGGTACTACAGGAACCTGACCTGTATCTGATCTAACAATACTGCAGTGAAAAGTGGAATACATATAGAAATGTTTACTACACAATTATGTTTTACAAAAAATACAAAATTAACCCCCTTACAATTATAACAAAATTAAAATCTTATAAATTTCCATTCCTAATAATTTTGTAACTTGCAAATATATTTCGATACCAAAACAACTTCGTAATAAAATTATTGTTCATCTTTATCCTTAGCACCGTGTTTCAAAATTCGAGTAAACTCGACATAATCGAAAAGTCCACCCTTAATCGGTGCCTCACGATACATTTCATCAACCTCGTCGTCAGTGAAACGGTCTCCCATAGACGTGAGCAGTTCTCGCAGCCTCTCTTCATTTATTACTCCTAAATTCTCCTCGTCGAAACATCCGAAGGCGTTCTTAATCACGTCCTCGGGGTCTGTACCTTGTAGCCTTTCGCCGAATAATGTCAGGAACATGGTAAAATTGATGGGGCCCGGAGCCTCGTTCATCATTGTATCCAGATAGTTATCGGGAGGATTCTTACCTACATTAAAAATTAAACCGATCGAACACAGGTGTGTTTACCTTACCTAAAGAAGCGAGCATATCGTGCAGATCCTCCTTGTCGATGAACCCGTCGTGATTTTGATCAATCATGTTAAACGCTTCCTTAAATTCTGCAATTTGTGCTTGATCGAACATCGCGAAGACATTGGAAGTAGCCCTCTGGGCCCTTTTCTTTCCGGTGCCTCGTCTGCTTACAGTTTTACGCGAAGACATTTCTAGTAACACAAAGAGCTTTAATTCGGGTTTCCAACTAAAATGACCCACTTACTCACTTCCAATTTACAAAATGCTTAGAAATACAAAAATTATGGTCAATAACCGACAAAGCCGACTACTTTCAAAGCAGATGATTCATTAAACAAATGACAGTTGGTCGCCACACCTTTTTATTGTTGAGTACGTTTCGCCCAATCAAATTAAACGCGCCAAATATAAATAGCCCAAAATTTTTGAAAAACTTATTTGAGTAATATACAAAATTGTACTGCCCATTCAGTTTAAATAATTGTTATTTAGCAAATACATGTGCGGGCAAGTTAAGCATTTTCCACTTCTACTAAAACTGAAAAGTAGGACAAAGTGCCAGTTCCTAATATGGTCACAATCTACTTACTTATGAAGAATGAGCAATCTCTCATTATATGATCGTATTTTTAAGGACTTGTGTTTTTATGTATTACAATTTCACTGATCACTTACTTAAACTCACCTACGAAGATTTTGGTCTTTAATTGAGCTTCTGAATTTGACTTTTTAGTCTGAATGAGCTTGAGCTCTAAATTCCCTAGTTTCAGGTCCAAATTTACAATTTAAAGTTTAAAAGGAAAAGGAATTTTGGACTGGGCCCTACCACCAAAGCTTTCTAGATCGACATCAAGTTTCATCAGCTTTCTCTCTGGCAATGGCATGGAAGTATCTCAAAGCTTGAATGTGCATGGAATGGAAGACATTTAAGGAGCTCCGGAATTCATTGTAAAAGTCTAAAAAGTGCCATCAAGAACTAGAAGACGAAAGCCTTCTAAACGCTTTTCCAAGTGAACGTTTTGGAGTTGAGTTCCCATATACCTATGTCGAGGTGTTCAGTAAAATTGCACGGAAGATCTACAAAAATTGTACCGGAGACATTTTTTTAAAATTTGTAGCTTAACGGCTAAAAACTTTTCTGCCTAATTCTTAGAAAATGGTCTAAAAGTATGGAATCTTTAAGAATTTCAAAGATGATACCACAGACAATGTTGTCTGTGATGATACTTAGGATGATACTTTAGAAATTAAGAAAAGAAATGGACGAAAGAAAGATAATGATATTACTGCTGATTATACTGCCTAAGCAACAGCATAACATCTTTCATGCCTGCGTGTTTTGTGAAATGGTGGTGTCAATAATTTATAGAACCGCGGATTTGAACTAAATTTTAGAAGATCGTATAAATACGGTGGCATTTGATCTTACACAATTTTGTGGAATATGCAAGGTGAATGTAGTAATCTCCTTATTAGCCATATTTAACCAACCGAGCTCTTGTAGTTTGTAAGTAATATGCGTTCATGCTTTTTGATTCCAAAGATCAAACGAAGACAAGAGTTTTGCATTTTTTGGATTCTATATTCGTCTCTAATAGTCAAGCAGGGGCCATAAATCACATCACAGTAATTAAAGTTTGACAGCACAAGTGCCTCACATAGCAATAGATACTTTTAAATGTCTACTTAAACAGTGGCGATGGGAAAAAATCATTTTTAGATTAACATAGGCTTTCTTACATGACTCTGAAACATGTTTACTAAACCGCATATCACTGTCAATATGTAATCCTAAATTTTTTACGCAGTCGTTGATGGGTAACACCATATCTTTTACTTTTATTGTCAACCATCCCTTTCTTGCGTCGTTTTATTTGGGTGGTCCAAATAACATAGCAGAACATTTGGCAGGATTGATTGCTAATCCATGCAAATCGGATAATTCGGAAAGCCTTGCTATATCAGCGTTTATATTATTAATTGCATGTTCTATATCAGACGCAAGGAAGGGATGTAACAATTGGATGTCATCTGCGTATTGGTGAAACGCCACGTGTCTAAGTGAGTAATGGAATTTACACGTATATATCGAGAATAACACCGGGCCCAATACGGATCCTTGAGGCACACCTGCTGCAAGTACTTCACGCTGTGACGTTCGTTGCTTAAAAACAACTTGCTGTCTCCTGTTCGTGATATAACTCTTCAAGAGGACGCGAGCGTCGCCACCAAATCCAATATGATGTAGGAGGTCAATAAGCGTTCTGTTATTAATTGTATCGACGGCCTTGGAATAGTCCAGTAAAATCAGAGCTGATAACTTTCCTTGATCAGTAAAGGTCAACAAGCTGTTTGTAATATTTAGAAGTGATGTGGTACAGCTGTACCCACGTCTAAACCCAGACTGTGTCACTGGTAAGATATTCTGCTCTGATATAAAGACATTCATTTGCTCGACCATAACCTTTTCCAAGACCTTCGATAACACCGGCAAAACACTTATAGGACGCAAATCATTACATGTTTCCGGTTGTTTAATTTTAGGTAGCGGAGTGATGTTCGCTATCTTCCATTGGTCAGGGAAGGTATTGGACTTCAAACAAAAGTTAATAAGGAATGTTATATGAGATATGATATAACTAAGCAATAACATTTTCATGGAGGTTTTTAAAAAATACTTTTAAGAGCAAAATATAATTACTTTGGTCATACTGCCACCGTAAACGGGCAAAATCGGTCATCTTGGTGGAAAGGGGGGAGGGTTCAGCAACCTCAACGTTAAGGATAGAGAGGCAAGAATTATAACCATTTTCATGACTCGGGGGTATTGACAGTTTGGTTCCACTCACGCACAGTGTGAACAGGTACTTATAAAGCAGAAAGGCTGTGCATTACGGCAACGTTGCAATTGAAATTGAAAATCAAAAATCAAACACCGACTCCGACCACTTTTGAGTTCTTGCAGAATGTAACAACAAAAAGAAATAAGTTCACTAACTACCTGTTGATATTATTAAAGGTAAATGAAGTGCATTACACATTGAGCTTGAGCTAGTCCTTATCCATAAATACATAGAAGCCTTATGTTTGTACTCATCCAGCTCATTGCAAATTAAACATCAATTATGAATAGGAGCCACTTTGATATTCTACTCGTCAGGGCAAGAACTGCTTGAGGCTCAAAATGGAAGAGTAAGTTTTAATATGGAATGCTCTGTAGGGCTTCACATTTTACCTGTAGGGAATCGCAGACGGAAGCAACTGGTGAGGCTTCGGAGGCACAGCCAAAGGAACCGAAGGCAGCTAGCGATACTCCTCAACCACCCAGTCCGAATGCACTTAAAGTTGCAGCGACAGAATGTCTCAACAGCTGGATTTATTATTTGCAGGTAGATTTATCCACCGACTGAGGGGGAAATCACTTACACAGTCGTACAACGTGCAAAAGTTTTGTACAGTCATTGCAGTCATTAATGGTGGGTTTATACAATCATTATCATTAGTTCAGTAAGCGTTATATTTCGCGGAAAGAATGCGTCACATCCGCTTTTGTTTCTTATCGCCGATGACTAATTCTTATGTTTTTGAGAGATGCACAACGTATAAGGAAATGATTTTCCCCTCATTGCATACAGCATTGGTATTAAACTGACCTACTTGTAGATGCTAAACAGCTTATGCTTGGCTGGTGCGAAACTGTCTCATTCGCTATTCAATCTGGCGCAATCCCAGAACATCTCGCTCGCCACCCAGTGTCAAGCGAGCTGGGACGAGCTAACCAAAGCAACTACCTACGCCAGCCATACGGTAAAAGCGCACATCGCGGCCGCAATGCAAGATATGATTATCGGCGAGACGTTCACAGAGGACGACGCGCAGCGGCAGCAAGAGCATAACCAACAGATTATCGCCGAGAATCTGCTCACCTTCATCAATTTGCAGTATCAGTTCTCGATCGCGAGCTGCGAGTGCATGGGGCCCATGGCGATGTGTCCATCCTGTCAAACGACGCCTGGCGGACAGCACGACCCCGAGTGCAGCATGGCCGCCTTGCAACAGTGCTTTTCCCAGTTCTACTCAAGCGAGCCGCGTTCGCTTATGTCCAGTCCTCATTTCGCCGACAGTCCCAAGGGGCCCGAGGTGAAAATGCACGAACATCCTCGACAGCACAGTCCGATAAATATCGCCGAACCTCGCGGTTCGTCGCCCTACAATGAGCCGTTCAGAGGATCCAGTCCGGTTCACGGCTTTATCGGTCACTCGGAGGTGATTCGCGGTCCGTTCCCCAATCCGGGTCAGCTGCACACGATGAAGTCGCCTTTTCCGATGCGCGGCTCACGCTCCCCCTTACACTTCCCGTTATTTCCTCTTGCTGGTCAAAGGAGATGGTCGGAAGCGGCCGCCGGGGATGTTGGTGGGGAGAGTAGCGACAGTACGATGAGAAGATGGTCAATGCCGTGGGATTGTGGAAGGGTCGAAACGGCGCCCTGGCAACAAAGATACTTTCCCACCAAGTTGGTGGTGCCTGGAACAAGTGATCGAAGTAGAAGTACTACCCCAGGTATATAATTGCCCTTAATTTTTTATTGCAGTTAGTTGCAAAATTGGACCAGTAAATAATATACTTACACATAATTCAAAATTATAAAATTAATAACGCTTGCTCTTCAAGGAATCTTCTTCAGTATTCCCCTTTTGGGACAGAAAGCGGCTAGAATTGCGCTGACTGCGTTTAATCAGAAACTGTAAAAACAATTGCGTAACCTAATTAATGCTGAAAAAATCGAGAATTATCTTGTTTCCGGGTTTATGCATCTCGCTGCTACAAAATTTTTGAAAGGAATGTGACCTGTTGCCATCCACTCACGACTGATTCGGATGCGATTCACTGCAACTCATTTAATTGGCTACTGTTAACTACGTTTACTTAATTTGTCGGATTAAAATTTCCAAATTTGGTAGGTAATTTCAATGCTCATTTTAATAGAAGTTTCGGGTCAATCGCAACAGGTCTGTGTCTGGTTTTCTTACCGGCGGCTAAAACGGCTCTATAATAAAAGCAAGGACTTATTTACCTTATATTCCCAACTCCGAGAACAGAAATATTTTCGGCATGACACTTTTCGTAACGAAGCGCCTATAGATACCGGGTGTTCAGTAAGGCTGGTTGCCTATGTACGGTATGTTTATTAATTTCAGTATAAAACATGCGTCATTTATTGTACGCCGTATAACTTTCGTAGTGCATTAAATATTTTGGTCTCTTTGCTTGAGTATGTTTACAATGTCCCAAAACTACCCTTTTAGCGCATATAAAAATGCCATCCCTTATAACTTACCAGAGAAGAAGAGGGCCAAATTAATATTTTAGAATTTCAGACATAAACCATTATTAGCAGGTTTTGTTTTCTATGATAAATTTACAGCGAGTAATGGAACGCGTGAAACTTACGTAAATACCAGGTGATATCGAAGATCTCGCCGTTTGACTTGCGAATTCCAATTAACAATGGGCGGTAATTGGGATATCGAATTTAGAGATTTCATTCCAACTAATTGGATATGTATAATAATTAAGAACTGATATTTAAATGAGTTGCAGAGAACCCGTCCAATTGAGCTGGGCTTTATCTCAAAAGAAGCGCTCTTAAAAAACTTGAAGTTTGACATCGGTCCCATATTTTTCCGATATCAGGGAAATTAGTAATTAATTAAAAACACAAGTTTGTTCTTTGGAATAACTTTCACGATCAAAACCCTGTACACTTGATGGCTAACTTGTTATTACAGAAGCAGTTGCTCCTCAGCCAGGCACAATAACTAGTGGAGAAGGACTGGCCGAAGCTATTCAGTTACTCTCGTGTAGACCAATGCGATGTGCCATACCGCATGGTCCCACATCATGGGGAGAAGGACACGAAGAACGTTTACCCAGGCGTGCGTACCCGGGGCCATTGCAAAGGTAACATTCTTCCCATAGGAACCATATGCATCAAGTTAGTTGTTTGTATAAAAGTTTAACTATTTGCAGAGGTATCTGGCAATCGATAGACGTACCACCTACAAGTGGTATGTCGGTCACCGAACACTACGACATATTTCCCCCGGTTATTCCCCTAACTTCCCGCAAAAGCAGCTCCTCCACCGACTCCTCCTCCTGCCTGTCCATTCACAGCAGATCCACAACAAGCTCCTCGGAACGAGGATCCGATGCAGGTGGTGTAAGTGTACATCTATCAGATGAAAGTTACTATACATGTGAATCGACTTTAGGAGGCGGTCCGACTGCACACAAACCTCTATTCGATTTGGAGTGGCAGCGATCATTTACCCTTCATTCGTTTACCTGAATCGCAGGAGCCGCAGGACGATAGCGATACCGAAGATACGCCAACGGATCAGGTCGGTCAACCTTTATTCCCAAAACCTTCCTAAGATGGGGATTCAACGGTTTTCTTGAGAGTTAGGTATATGGATCGATCATTGAAGATCTCGAACCGCGTGACGCCCTTAAGATATTTGTCTAAAGCACTGCCATTTGAAGCAAGTTCTTAACATTAGTAACATACAAACATAATCACTAAAACAGTTTGAGATCTTTTGTGATAGCGGGGATGGTACTAAAAACAACCTGTCATAGTTTCCTGCCCTTATTTGAATTATTATTGAGCTGTTTCTGCCCTTATTACTAGATGAATGTGAATAGCAACAAAGTGATTAACAGGCAGCTGCAAATCCCAAGTTACAGAGTGTAATCTTTTGTACTTCCATCAATAAGATTATACACTCAGTATAAACCAATGAATAGTTCACGTGTTTGCCATATCCATTTGCAATTTCTTGTTCTTCTATCACGAACAGTATTACAGAACTAAAAGGTTCACGTGATACCCTCATCGCAAGCTAGCCTCAAAAATGTTTGTGATACCTCTCCCACACTGCCAAACGTTTTTCCAGGTTATCCTTTGTATGTGGTACGGAGTGTACATTTGCACTGAAATGGGGCCATTATTTTTCTTGTAGTCTATAAGTTTATTATACAGAGTGCCATATTGTTTCTGAGTTATTTGGACCTGAAAACGTAATCATAATAAGGCACCCTGTATATTTACAAGTACTCTCTGTGAATAGTGGTGCTTTAATAACTGTGCAGGTAATTAGAATAGATGTGCTAACTGTTTTACATGTTACAGTGTTCGGCGGCTTTTTACTCGCCCTTTACACTTTAAAATAATTGCTGTTTGTTATACAGGATGTCCTGTAGATTTCAGGATAGACTTTGCGGTTGAACATTCCCTTTTTGCACATAAAGTGTAATAGTTTGGTCGAACTCACTAACAAACTGATATTTCGATCATCCAAAGAATGACTATTCTATGGTATTTTACTTGACTAGACATAACTGTGTGCATGGGCGTCCATCAAAATATGCCTCCCCCCCCTCTCCCAGAGGTTCGGTCACATGTATTGAGATTTTTTACTTGACATTGAAAAACATTGGGTGGAGATAGGGGGCTTGAGTCTCTTCTTGTCAGAATTGAAGGGCATCCATGACAGTATGCAGAACATTTCTCAAATTATCATCTTTCCGTGGTTAGGTCGTCTAGCGTAAGTATTCAGGTGGCATACCAACTAAAACATACATTTCGGCTTTCCTATACTGGGTGTTTTTTTGAGAGTTGTAATTAAACGTTAATTGGAAAGTGAGGTAGGTTCTTGAAAATTTGTACTTAGGAGTTACTCTGAAAGCCGAACCGATGTAAAATATTTTCAAAATGGTGGCACTTCCGGAAATACCAGGTGAGTAAACATTTAGGGAAAGATTCTTTGGGGTAATTGCCACCAGAGCGCAGCCTCACGTTCCGAGTAGAGGTAGGCTTGACTTATGGCAATCAGATAGAAGGATAAGAAGATGAACTACCACTGGGAAGCAGTCTCACAACCCCTAAGGAGGAAAGACTTAACTTATGGTAGTCCGGATAGAAGGGTAGTAAGTTACTACTTCTATCCCGTACTGTACCCGTTTTATACAATTTGTTTTTTAATAAAATTTACAGCGCTTCTAAAAAAAGTTAATTATCCAAACATACCAGTTTATAATAATAATAATAATAGAGATTTATTGCCCAACAGAGTAGGAGTGGGAGTAAAATTAATTGTTTACAGGCACTGTCATAATTGTAACTAGCTTAGTTAAAGTTTGACCACTGACATATTTGCGTCTGCTGTTTCGCAAATGTTGCTTATAACGAACGATGCAAACTGTTAATATTGCTTCTTGATCTATACACGCAAATAAATTACGAAATTAATTTAAACTTATGTTTTCTGGATACTAATAATTTGGAGAGTAGTTACTTTAAATGCGAATCCCTATTTTTGATTGCATTTTTGGATTCCTCGTGAAATTTCAGTTCTTTTGATACCCACCTGTCGATAAGTACATTGTACAATGTATGCTTTTTAAGTTATTTTGGCTTAAAAAAATGGCGGATGCAGACGGTATCTTGAAAATTGATTACTTGATTATGTGGATTTTTGGAATTTTATTTTATTTATCGTGAAGTGGACAGAATCGCGGCATATGGTTGCTGTACGTTTGTTGGGTGATATCCAGACAGACCCCATTCTAATGATCATACCATTGGAACACTGGAACGAAATTGATTTAATTTTGGAAACTTCGTATCCCTAAACCAACTTCATAGACCCAGACCCAATGTTGAAAATGCGGCTAATATTCTAGAGACCTATACACAGTTATTATTTAGATTCCATTGTAGCAGTTACTAGCTGCGTCCAGTTATTCTGGAAGTGCCACATATGTAGGTGTTTTACATCGATTGAGCTTTCAGAGTAACTCCTAAGTACAAATTTTCAAAAACCTTCCATTTCACTTTCCTAGAAACGTCTAACCAAAAAACCCCCTGTATAATGCAATATATCGCCCGAAAACAAAATGTGATTTTAATGAACTTGGCTGTCCATCCTTTTCTCTCTTGTGCTTACTTCTCACTGGAAACCTTTTGCTTTCGCTGTTCCTGTTCTTTGGGATTCTTTAATTGTATTATTTATAGTCATGTTGGCTGGTATATGGTAAAGTGGAAACATATCTTCTACGTTATTTTGATTGTTTAAATATTTGAATTTTTCTTGCTTCAGGGAAACAACAATTTTTGGGGTCTCGTATTATTATATAGAACAGAAAAGGCTATCGAATACCGAAATCAAGTAGTGGCACTTTGAAATTCGAAAAATCTACCATTTCATTACGAACATCCTGTATTTAATTAATTAACATTATTGCTCAAATTTATTTCTTAACATATGCTTGTGGGGAATTATTCGGAAAAAAATTATTAAGATGGCAACACTGACAAAAAATTAAAAAGTGAATAGGTTTCAATGTAGATGTTAACAAATGACATCGAAACAACTAAAAATATACAGAGTGTTCTATTTAAAAAATCCGTAACCGTAAAAATCTATAGATGCCCAATCATCTATAGTAGACATTTGCACGATAGGAATTTTAATATTTTTTACCAGATATTTGCGAGAAAAGACCGACGCACTGTGGCAGGACCCCTGTACTTTATTCACATTTTATGGTTGTCATGGCCAACTAGCTTTCAAACTATTTTAAAATAATGCCACCTGTCATTGCTGTTAATTGGCAATGAATACTGTCAATTTGAATGAATTGTCAATGTTAATGTTTTAATGTAAGAGCGAGAGTAAATGAATATTAATGTATGTGCGGCATGACTCAGATGTCAACATCCACTGCCAGGTTTTTTGAACTCGGTGACGTCATAGGGTGATCAGCACTTTTTCTAAACGTAGGTACCACGCATGGCTGCCATTTAAACTAGTAGGTAGTAGTAGGCACTAATCGTCCTTAATCCAGTTCGCTCAATTTTAATGTCGGCGATTTTCAATTTAATTAGGTTTCAATATATAAAAAGTCCAACTGGATACCCACGATCAGAGAGCTCGCCCATGTGTACTACAGTTGACTTCATAGAGACACAGTGGCGACAATAGAGCGTAATTTTTGATTGGCGATCATACTGCATCAAGTATATTGCTATGTCCCTTTTTTCGGGCGCATAAAAAATAAATGCTGTGCCCCACGTTGGGCGCCAAAATTTTTCCTGTATGCAATGACATGAGTTCATTAATCAAAAAAAGATTGAATCGCGGGGGCCAGCTGGGTTCCGAAACGCTGGAAAATGTCAACACTGACTGAATTTTGACGTATAGTGGAAATGACCATCAGTTAACTCGAATCAAGAGATATTTTCATTGAACAAAAACCAAACGTTACCTGAAATTTCTTTACTTTTACTGGAATTCAAATCGACACATAATTTTCGGTCGAATACAAAAAACAAGTCTTAAAGGTATTCACTACTTTGTTGTAGTAATCCAAATTTTTGTCTGAACTCGCCTGTACAGATATGGTAAACGAAGAATTATTTTAAAATAAAGGCACAACCGTGTACACAAACTTTCTTTTTTTTGTAAATCACCCAAACCATGACGATTAACATTGTTGAATTGGCAGCTCGGATACAAACTGTAATTTTAACGAAGACGCAACTTTAAAATTGAACAATTACCTTTTCTATAACTTGAAACTAATTACGTAAACATTCACTTTGCACAGAAATCACTTCTTTTAAGACTTCGAAACGGCGGCTGACTACCACAAAAATGCGTATTTGAATTTACACGCAACGCACTTCTACGTACCCTAAGTCAAATGAACCGAGACCTGCTCTATAGATCGGCGCGCCATCTTTTTAAGTCCAGACCATCTCCATCATAATTTTGCATATTCGGAAAGGTCTGACGAAATGCGAGCACTTACTTACATCGCACATCTTTATCAACAACTTTGCACATGTGCCATCTTTTATCTAAATCAATTAAATTTCACTTTGATAATGTCCCCCTATCAAACACATTGCTAAATAATTCTCAAATAGACGCAAGAATTCCTTTACCCGCATGTTTCTTAACTTCTACGTCTTAAATTAAACAAACAAAACCGTCTACATGATTTAACAAAATTACAACAAAAGTAAACTAATAAAAAAATTAAATAAAATTCATCAATTACGTGCCTATTTGTAACAAAATTATATCGATTTCCTGATCGAATTTTGAATAATGCAAAATACAGGGTGTCCCATCTTGCCATTTCCATAAATTTAATCGAAAATTACGCTACTTATTGCCGCCACTGTCTTTATAGTCACTAAAGAAGTACTATTTCACTGGCGACTGGCGCCATCTGGTTGAAAACTCAAGTGGGATAACATTAGGTTGGACTTTTACGGGTGCGTTTCTTACATAGCTTCGATCGACATTGCGTGAGTTGAAAGCAGAGGTACTAATTGATAGAGGAAGTTTTTTAGCGCCAATGTAATTTAGCGTTTTTATTATGACAATCTTGTTACAAAACTTATTTATTACAAAAATATATACAAATGCTCTTCATTTTCTAGTCCTAATAACTTAGACATTTTTTATACTACGTCTGTCTGGTACAAACGTATTTACACATTTTATACCTTTTTAAATAATAGGTCTATGACTGTTGTAACAAAATGTAACATTTTATTAGGATAGGTACTATACAATAAATGTCGCAAGATTAATACTGTTTTGTTACCAAGAAATCCAACTGTCGGTTTAAATTTTGATTCACAGATTTTCATCATTTGTCTCTTCCTCTTCCATGTCCATATCTTCCCCGTAATCTAGATCTTCGTCCGACAAAGCGTAATCGTCCGTCACCTCGTCCTTTAACGAACACTTCCTGCACCTACAAGTGAGTAGGGATTAACAAATTTAACCTACTGGACTTAGCTTGAAATCGATTCTTGAAAATGAATAAAAACAAACCAACTGAGAGTGAATGTCATACACACCTGCTATCATTGATGCCATAGTTAATACAGGTGTCGCCGACACATTCACAACAACCGTCGTGAAACCATCTATAACTGGAAGCTCCCATTGACTGGCAGCTGCTGCGGCACTTCGTCCAACTCATACATTGCGACATGAACGCGACGGTGCAATTTAAACTGGTCACGTTCGGTTTGACAGGGGCAACCTCTTGCTCTACGCTTTCTATTAATGAACGAGCTGCCTTACGAAAATAAAATAATCGCGATAACTTACGCATCTGCAGTTTCATCTCTTTCTTGGGCGTGAAGAGCGTGGCGTCCAAGTCGATCGCGTAAGTGAAACTGGTCCAGCGATTCTGCGGATCCGGCGCCTCCGTTAGTACTTGAAATAGTCCCGCCACCTTTTCGGCGAACTCTTCCACGTGCGATTTCGTGCTCAGTGAACCACCGCCGTCCTCTAAGGGCTTTGGACACATGTCTAGAAGTGGATTGTTAATGAAGGTTGCTGCAGTTTGGGTCGGTTGCGAAAAGGCCGTACCTACGCATGAACAGCATTCGCTGTACAGTTGCCCCAGACAGCTGTAGCATTCTTTGCAGCACGTGCAGTTTTTAAGGTCGCATCTACAGGACTGCGTGAGGAGGCACTTGCTCACCACGCTGCCGCATACAGCTTCGTTGCAGGCCTCGACGTAGGCGAATGTGAGGAAAAAGGTGAGGAAGATACAGCTAAGTAGTTGATGCATTGTTGCTCTGAAATGAATTTCATGAATGATCAGAATTCTTTTTCAAAACGAGGTTTTATATGCGCTCAAAAAATGACGCTTATTGTTAGTAAAGATTCAACCATACTTGCACGTCTTTTTGGAACCTACCTAAATGGTCAAAATGAAATGATACCTCTGATTTTGATTGTAGTATACAAACCAGAAAATTCTGATTACTTTCGAAGGTTTTGCCTTGAAATTAACATGCGGATAAAAAGAAATTAGAAAAATCTGACATAGGAAAATAAAACCTGGATCTCAAATTGGCACATGATTGATTAATAAAAAGAAATTACGAAGAATTGATCCTTTCGCAAAAGTGACATACGCATTTTTCCCATTTAAAAGAGAAACCACTTCAATTCATAAATTCCATATCGTTGATTTTCGGCGATACTCGTAACTCAGCTCCGTCGCGCGACTCGATAACCTGCACATGCTTATCTCGCACGTGTCATTGTTTATCACAGAACCAATTAACTTTTGTTCGATAAAACTTTTTTAGGGCGTTGTGCGCGGGTGCACCATCCTGTTGGAACCAACAGTTTCCAACTTTTCTTATTTATAGGCCGTACATCGTTGTATTCGTAATAAAAAATGCTACTTAATACAGTATGTGCTACTTTTTTTACGGGCCATATAAAAAATAAAGTACCTATGTGTTCAAATAACATCAGAAAAAAATAAAAACAAAATCGGCAAATTTCGGTTTTTCAGGCATATCTTCGTAAGTTTCTGGTTTTCTTTACAGCATGATAATGCATAATATTCCTCTGGCCATTGTAGAGAAGAAATTAGAAGAATCAAAAAAGAGACAAATCGTTTAAAAATCAATGTTTTGACAATTTCTTTAATTTCGAAACAGTTGCACTAGTCATTTTCTTTAAACCGCTGTGTTTATTTAATAAAACACAAAAACCACAACGAATTTTGGAAATTTTTACTACTTATTTTTATGGAAACCTATTTTACAAATGTCTTTGAAAGTCAGCTTGGAAATGAAAAAAGCTTTCGGGAAAAATCCTCAGAGATCTTAAAAATTTGTAACATTTTTGAAACCTTTTTAGCAGTCATCTGAGGAAATCTTCTTGGAACTCTTTCCACAATTCTCATCTCTGTGCCACAGATGAAAAATTCTTACCTCAGCCCAGGTTCGAACACTCGACCTCCAGATATGTAGCCCAACCCTCTACCACAGAGCTACATTTTAGGGAATTATTTCACTAATGTTGAAGCTCAAGGAGTATTTGGCTAGATTATTTTTCCCACTCATTGTGCCTACTAAAATCCGATATATAGGGTGTTCTTAACTATGGTGTAAATATGGAAGGTGCTAGTTCTTTGGCTTATTTTATCCGCAAACACTTTATTACTGATCTACAGGGTGTTACAATTTCAACATTTTTCTTCTGGAAGTTTTGAGAAATTTTGCTCAAATTTGAAATCTAAGTTATACTGAAGGGTTGGTCATGCCAATGGTAGTGAGTATCTATAGGGTGTTGTTTTTTCAGGGGTCACGTTCCATTTTCTACCCCTGAACTTTTTTTCGGTGCGTCATTGGTATTGTAAAATAATTTGATTTTCTGCTTGGTTTGGAAACTTGATCTCTGATAATTTTTTCGCATTTGCGACCGTGATCGAGAAAAAAAGTAAAATTCAATTCATGGAACTTGTTATGAACTTTTAGTCATAAAATAAGCCAAAGAATTAGCCCCTTTCGTATTTAAATCACATTTAGGAACACCCTGTATAATCTGTATATTGTATTGGAAACCTTAGGAATCTATTTATGAATTTTTTATTCAATAAATCCACCTAGAAATATTACAAATCTGCTTAGGGGACATCGGATCCTCTTCTTTGTGTCTCAAACATTTTAGAACCCCTCTTTGAAATCATCAAAAAATCAGGAAAAATTTAAGTTTTCTTGCAATATTCTCGATAGCCTTATAGGGAATTTTTCTGAAATTTATACAGGGAGATTCACGGAGCCCGTTCGTTAGAAGTTTTTAAACTTGCAGTTGAAACAGAAACTTCAAGTCTTCGAAAAATCGCAGCAGTCCTGGAAGCTTTTTCAAGACTCGGCGATCACTCAAAAAATTGCTTAGACTTTAGGGATTCGATTATAAAGAAGAACATTCAGTAATCTTGAACGGTTTAGTAGATATGAATTTTTGAATGGATCTTTGCATCTTCAAATTTTTCTGTCAAAAACTATGACAGATAGGTAGGTACTTAAATCTTAATTTATTGGGAATACGATTATTTTGAATCATCAGCCGAAATTTTCAGCTCAGTTTTGAGTTGTTCGGATTTTTTTTAGTACAGTCGAAGCTCTCTCCTCTTTGTGTCCCTTCGGCGTTTGCGCCCAGGGCACGTGCCCCTCCTGAGATACGCCACTGTGTATGTAATCACCAATTTCGCCAAAGTATTTTGTGCTAATTATAGGAAATTCGACGTTGACCCCCCCCCCCTTCTAATTTTCCAAAAATATTTGCCCAGACGTTTCTGTATTCCTATATTACATTATACTAATAGGACTTATGCAATTGCTGCCTTTGTATGATATTTGATTATGGTATCTTTGTACTTTCTAATTTATTTATTTTTTTAAATTGTAATTTTGGAAACGATTTTGTCACCTTATGAAAGTATTGACATATACAGGGTGGGGCAGCAAATATTACCTGCTTAAAAAACGGTAAAAATTGGTATTCGGCGTCTATGAACAAGCACTGAGAGGATCAATTTTTATTCAACCTCCTGACCACCCCAATTTCCCATAAGGGCGAGAGACCGTGTGTGCAAAGTCCCTTTTAAAACGTACCACCGAATCTCTTTTGCCCTTTAATATTGTAAAATTAAAAAAGTGAGAGCCGACAGATTTCTACTTATTTGGTTGGTTTACGAAACGCGGACAATTTTTATTCAAAAATAAAATATCCACGAGCTAAACTGAACATTATGAACTCTTTCCCAATAATGATTACTCATTCAATTAATGGCAAGTAATTTACTGGCGCACCGATGCGGTATATGCGAAAAAGCGTGTACTTAACAAAAAGACGTAATAAATAAATTACCCCGAGGGCATTCCTTCGTTTAATTGGAACTGGATTGGCGAAGGCGTAAAGCCACTTAAATAATAGACTTGAAAAGTACACTCACCTAATTACGGTTGTTAAAAGGCGGTTTAGGTGAATTGATTCGTTTTTAAAAAACACTAAATATTATTTGTTTAGCTTCAACAGCACATAACACCATCGTGTTTATTTCTCATTCCGAAACTAGTTTTAATTCCACGTTTATCCCTACCCCAACTTCACTTTCGCGCCACTATGAAGTTCGAACAGAAATAATGCGCTCCGCTTAAATTTTACGCGTTGGTCCTAAACTGGAATCCACTTTAGGTACATTCTTGGGCTGTTAGTCATCGTTAATTATCCACGGAGACGGGATAGCGTCCCGTGCAAGGATTATTGCAGGTAGGTGAGCAGGTATAGATTCTGTGAACAATAAACACGCATTTTTGAGTTCTTCCTGTCGAAATGAGAAACTTGTGCTGTAATTTTAATAATTTAGGATAATGAAATTTTTGGAAATAATTTTTTTCTTATACTCGAATCACAATCTCAGTTTTGAACACTCAAATGGGTGCGAAATCAGGCCTTTAAAACACTATTGTGCGTTAAAGGTTGGTAAATAATGTTACTTCCTATATGACTGTTCCATTTTTTAATCGCAGCATTGTTTGAAGTTCTCAATGAATGTACAAACGGATTTTTTTCCTTCATATATGCCAGCATTATCGATACATTTAGGACTCTGTTCGTAAGATGCTTTTATTCATCCATTACCAACAACTTTTCATATTTTTTGCAATACTGAATTTTGTAGGCAGCAACTTTTCTTCTGTTTCTGCAACAAACCACTGAATGGACTGTTTGGCCTTGGTCTTCAAAGCACTTGCAACGTTGAAAGGCACTCCGCTACGCTACCCGTTGACATGATTATACGCTTAATTTACAATGAACTTCTTAATATACTGTTTAACCGGGTCTGATTGTTCAAATTGCGCATTTAATCTATTTCAGTAATAACCCATGTAATCCTACTCGATCTGGGATACCCTGCATACATTCATCCTTAAACCTCTCATCATTCCGATCTATTGTAAATTCTAAATTCAAAAACGCGCTAAAAATTAGCGCCTATTCCTCAAAAATGCAGAAAAGCTAAAAATACCTAAAAAAATGCACCAACCAGTCGCTGTCATTTGATTCAATTTTTCCTGAAACACGTTTGTAGTGTGTTCCATGGAGAACGCACCATAGGGAAATTTTTTCGGGAAGGATCCACGACGTCTTTGATATTTATTTGAAGTTAGCGTTCAACGTAGGTACGTTATTGCGCTAGCTTGATGATAGAAAGAGATTGGAGTGGTAAGATGAACGCTAATTTCAAAGGCCTCGTGGATCCTTCGCGAAAAAATACATTGCTGTTTCCCTATGATGCGTTTTACCTGGGACACACTGTATATAACTGAGCAATGTCTGACCTTCAGAAAAAAAGATATAAAGTCATCAAAATCCTAGCCCTATTGGTAACAAACTTCTTCGTGAATACATAAATACATACTTAATAAAACAATATAAAGGCTTAATCACCTCTACTACCTGTAAAAAAAAAGATGATTATTGATTTATAGACAACGCCCAACGGTACTCTAAAACACTTGCAGCAACGCTACGTTTCAAATATCGGCATTTTATGCAAAATGTAAATAACATACGTTACCACGCGAACAGACAACGGAAAATGTCTGTCATTGCGCTAGCGCCCGATCATTTTTTCTCCAATATCAATAATAATATCAATGCCTATTGAGGGCCCAAAACTAAGAGAGGGATAATAAATAAATAAATAAATAAATAAAACTTTTGTTTATTGTGTTATCAACAATTGGAAAAATTACTCAAACATAGATTGAACTGCTCAACAGACGAATGACATTGATGTGTGTAATGACCCGGCCAAAATGAACCATACATAACACACCTCAAACTTAACTAGCTCTCTAATTAAATCTCTCATTACACATCCGTATTCCGGCACAATAAAAAAATTGGTTTTAAATTCCAGACTCGAAAGTAATTAAGTAAACATTGGTCACGATCAAATTCCTTGAACTTCAAATTTTGAAGACATTTGAAATGAACGTTGTGCACAGATCAACAAATGTAATCATAATTAAGCATGAGACATCTATCTGAATCGTTAAAGGGATCGAATAAACACACGATTTGCATGATTCCACATAAACAAAATTTATTCTACAACCACAAATGAAAGTAAACATAAAATCCTACTTAACGAAATTAGACTACAACAGCGCCCGAATCAACAAAACCCCGCATATGCGTTCGAATACAAATTAAAACGAAATCAAGGTTTTTAGAGTATCAGAAAAACTTAAGGTAGACTCAGACCTACAGTTTTTCCTCGAGGTTTGGACTGCGCAGATGGGTGCTTGTGGATCTGGATTAAACTGTGCTTGTTTATGATGAAGTTTTTTCCTTCCATCAGTACTTATTTCCCTGTCTAAACCGTAAGGATTCAGGTTTTGCTATGAAAGAGATATGGACGTATCGGCCATGTGTAAGTGTAGTTCATTTTTATTACTACCTGCATGTTAGTAAGGGAAGGCATTGGGGTAAAAAATGACCCCCCCCCCCCACTTTTTTACGGAAATGCCCGTTTTAAAGTACCAGGAATCTGAATCAAACAACATCTCGATGTCGGTCGGTCTGTCTGTATTTTTCTTGAAAAGTAGGCGAAAAATTTTATATACAAAAAAGATTATGAGCTCTACGTTGGGTTCAAAATAAAGGCGCCAGAGCGCATTTTCTAAATGTGACTATAAGTAGTCGGAAAGTCAAGTCAGGAGTACCTGACAACTTTAAAAGTGAAAACTACAGATAAATTGTAGATATTTAGATGCAAGTATAGTAAAAAATGCTTACCATTTAACAATAACGAAATTATTAAACAAAAACTTAAAACAAAAGATAATTTATTTAGACTACAACATAACAAACCAACAGCTTAAGTCAAAGTTTCGGAGTTGTGGCATTACTACTATTATTGTTATCAGCATTGCCGATTTTAGACGTTGGCGGCGTATCTCCAACCTCTTTTCGGACTGACTCCTCAAACTCGGCGGGTTCTATTAAATGTTTTCTGCCAAAAGGCGGCGGACCAATCAAATGTTCTACATCTTCGTAATTAAGCGTCTCTTTCTTCAGTAATGCGGCTGCCAACTGTTAAAAAATTTAAGCAAAGGGTGGGAGAATTTTGTAACTTTTACCAGTTCCAATTTGGCCTTGTTTTCCGTTAATACCTCTTCTGTGCGCTTGTATGCTTTGGAAATCAGCTTCCTCGCTTCGGCGTCGATGACGGACGAGAGTCGCTTACTAAAAGGCTTCCGACCCCTCTCTTTCATCTCTTGTTCGGGAAACGAAATCAACCCAATAGTTTCATTCATACCGAACTCCTGAACTTGGGCGTAGGCCATTTTCGTAACTTTTTCCAAGTCGTTTTGCGCGCCGGTTGTGACCTTGTTAAACGTGAGCGATTCGGCGACTCGTCCACCTAACGCCATACACATCCGCTCAAACAACTAAAAACGCTGATTAGCACTTGCGACTGGTGAAATACGCGCGTACCTCTTCTTTGGTGTACAGCTTTTGATCGCGAGGAATGTACTGCGCAAAACCCAGCGCTAAATTTGTTCGAGGTACAATTGTTACCTTTAGAAAGGCATCCGTGTGTTCCAACATCCACCCGACTAACGCGTGGCCCGACTCGTGATAGGCCACAACCATTTTTTCTTGTGCCGACATTGCGTGGCTACGTTTTTCGGTGCCACCTATAAACCCAATTATCCTACTCAGCAGACGATTTCGGCACTTACCCACTAAACGCTCTACTGCATATTCGAGATCAACCTTTGTAACTTGCTTCTTTTTCTCTCTCGCAGCATGTAGGGCAGCCTCATTGCAAACGTTGGCAATATCTGCACCTGTGAAACCCGGAGTTAAAAAGGCTAAGCGTTGACTGTACGTAGTGCGTGGTTTCTCTAAAGCGATTCCTTTAAGATGCTGCTCGAAGATTTGCTTCCTTTCCTCTAAATCTGGTAAATCAATCAAAATGTGACGGTCAAACCGCCCTGGTCGGAGTAAGGCCTGTTACAAAGGAAGTCACAAGTTTTCATTGTGGGTTGCATAAATTACCTTGTCCAATATGTCTGCACGATTTGTAGACGCTAACATAATAATACCTTGCTTCGTAGCCATTCCATCCATCTCCACCAGCAGCTGGTTTAGCGTTTGCTCACTTTCTCCACTGGTCCCGGCCATATTCTGATGACTACTCCGTTTACGGCCGACCGCATCAATCTCGTCTATGTAAATAATGCAGGGACTACGCTTGCGCGCCTCTTTAAACAAATCGCTACCGCGAAATTGTAAAACCCACCTCATCAACCGTTCTCAACTTACCGTACTCTAGCCGCTCCCAATCCTCCGATCATCTCAATAAATTCGGATCCGTTCATCGATAGGAACGGCACGTTCGCTTCCGTAGCGACCGCTTTGGCGAGGAGAGTTTTACCGCATCCGGGCGGTCCCAGGAGCAGGGCGCCCTTCGGAACTTTCGCCCCTAAACTTTTGTAATGCTCGGGCCTCTTCAAATAGTCGACGAACTCCATCACCTCCTGTTTCGCCTCGCGCAGTCCGGCCACGTCGGAGAATCGGACGCCCTTTCCGGCGCCCATTAGTGGATCGACTAAGGTGAATTTCGCGCGGCCAAATTGCGTCTGTAATTATTTACCTTATAAAATTGGGATACAGATTAGAACAAAACTAAAAGATATAGGATTAAGTAAAAGTTCGTCATTGGTTTTCAGTCGAGGGATTTTTTCTTATACCCAAAGACGAGTTTGTGTATTTAATTTACCATTTGCTTCTGCAGATCGGCAGTCTCACTTAAAAAAAATTAAAGAGGAGAGCTGAACAGGCGATTTAAGAAGCAACTTCGGTGGTTCTGTTTCAGATTTTTTGTAGGGAGAGATGGAACGTTTGCGTCGATTGTATGTCGGCAAACCCTTGTTGCGTAAAAAGGGAGAAGCGAAAAATTGAACCTGATTGTAGAACGTTAATGTCCATACTTGATACAAATCGCATGAGAAAATTGCGCGCATGATCTGTAGGACAATTTTAGTTAACAGTGCTATGCACTTTCCACTTCTTTTTGATTTTTTTTGAATCTGCTGTCAATGCGTTTCTTGTTTTTCTTTGACAAATAAAATTGCAAAGAATAACGAACAAGTAGTAAAAGTAACCTACAAAAGTATCCATGCTAATTGGTGGTCGTATACTCCGGCTTCTGGCAAGAACCGACGCGATGACCGCAACCAGCAACAAAGAGGCTATAAGCCTACCGGCAGTATCCGCCCCTCGTTCGTAAACCACGGGTACGCCTTCTTTTATACCCAACCTACGTTCGGCTTCTCTCAGTTTGTCCTCAAATTTCTGAGAATCCACAACGTTCATGTGGTATGTTCTGTGATCAATCTAAAAACAAGACCGTTAATTAGCATCACATGCTGACTATACAGCACCTCAACTAACAACTTAGAATGGCAAACTACGACACAGAATTCTGTTTTGTGTAACTTGTTCTGAATTTTGATTTGTAACTTGGAATATCATTTTCTTTTTCACTCCCACAAGTAGGTCTGACTATCTCACTACATGTAGGTATCAAATTATGTGCTATGACAATTTAGTGTGAGCAAGAAATAAAATTGAGAAGAATAAATCTATACAACAGAATATCAAAGGACCTGACAGACTATTTTTATATCAACTTTTACGTTGATCCCTTTAACTTTGACCACCTTTCGACGTTTCAATTAGGTTTTTTAGTTGGACCAACTTTCAAGGCCCTACGACCTTGCGGTCGAGAGCTATCGTGCGTACAGACGGGCGGACGGATGAATAAACAAAATTTAAGAAGGGTCTTCTCTATGTTTGCTACATTTAAACTATACCACAACAAGGCTCAAGTTTCGCATTATCTACTAAATTAAATTAAAGTAAATTTAATTCCGCGTTTTATTTATTTAGAATTAATTAACAATGAATTTATAATAAATTAAATAGATTGATTTATAAGAGGTAATAATTATTTATCACTCATTACTCATCCGGTTTCACTACTTATCGCCGGTGAATAATCTTTTATCGACTTGATGGCGCTCCGATGTCGGGAATGCTCGCCACATTATCAAAGAAAGATATTCGTTGTACCCTAAAAAACGGTTTTTGCATCACTCGCATCACCGTTACAATCTACTGTCAAAAGAGTTTCTTTGCTGTAGAAGGGATCGATGCCTGCAACTTTATTTGGATTTCGTTTCAGGTTGCTGTTAAAGTAATTGTAATAGTGAGAAATTCAGTCAGGGTTTCTGTTAGGCTCTTGAAAAAAAATTGTATGGCTTCAAATCAAGGTTGATTTGAACCGTTGAATTGTCTTTTTGGCTTCTAAGAGACCACTGAATAGTAGTTGTATATGGTGTGTAAATCAACCTATAACTGTGTTAGTTTAGAATGTTGGATCGCCCTGTATATATTTTTCTAAATTTACTAATAATTGAATAAAATAAATCATCTACTAAAATTTTACTCCAGTGTATCTAGTTTGATTTGAACTCGGTATATTTTGAATTCTTCTATGAAACTTTATGATATTAAATAATGTTCCACGTTCAAAAATACGAACAATAATAATATCCAAGAATAAAAAAATCTACAAGCTGTTCTATTAAAAAAAATAAATACTGATTAATAAGAGGTAACTATTATTTATCATTCACTTGTACTCAAATTTATAACAACCGAGCGCAAAATCACTACTCATCAATGCGGCGTTGATATTGGAACGGGAAGTTTCTAGACAAAATTACGGAACGTTCTCGAAGTCTAGAAGGCGTATAATAATAATAATAATATGCTTTATTTTTTTGCAAGCTGGTAAAAAAAATAACAAAGTCAAAGTTATAGAGAGAAACACGCAAAAAAAAGATTAGAAAACAGTTAAAACTGATCTAAGTTCTAATCCTGAAGAACTGAGTAATAGTATCATGTGTGACTGATACTTTGCGTATAACATTTCAAGAATCGCATCCGCTTTTATCGTCTTACAAAAAAAAAATGGTATTGTACGCCAAACGCCCTTATAATCTACTGTCAAAAGAGTCTTCCTTGCTGTGATATAGGCTTATTTGCATACGAGATCAATGCATATTTTATACTTTAGAATTTTGAAACGCCCTGTATATATTTTTTCAAAATTTGCTAACAATTGAATAAAATAATATCCACTAAAATTTTATACGGGCCTAGCTAGTTTGATTTGCACCCTGTATATTTTGAATTCTCCCATGAAACACTAATTTTTAAAATATACAGAGTGCGCCGTGAGTTCCGGAATAGTCGAGTTTCTCGGTTATCAATCAACCAATTCCTTTCACATTAAGTATAACACGAAGAGATCGTTTTCAATAATCCCAACATTGTATTAAAATAGAACATGCTGTAGGTTTTAATTTTAAAACACAATAGCCAGGCCCAAAAATACGAGCACTGATGGATTTAAAAACAAAAAATACACCAGCTGTTCTATTAAAAAATTGAGGTTATGAAAGTAAAAAAAATTTTCATATGAGCAATGAGTTCTTTGCTTTTCCATGGACAACCGAGATATGATCCAATGCAAAGAATTCATTGGTTATGACAATTTTTGCACTTACAATTTGACTCAAAATATTAATTATTTTTTTTAATAGAACGCAGTTAAATAATTAAAGATATAGACATTATTGCTAGTAATTTTGAACGTGGTTTGTTAGTGCACCTATTCAAAAATTGAAAAAATTTACAGGGTGTTTTATTAAAACAAATTTTTTAGGGTTACCAATAAATTAACAATAATTTAGAGAATAACGCAACTATGAAAAATAAGATGAATTTCAGAATGATAATTTATTAACATAACGCCAAGCAGCTTATTTCATGCTTATTTGTTAATAACTTTTTTGGAATGCTCCATTAAAAAAATGTTTTGAAAATGTCTCTGTTGAACTACAGTATCCATTTCTGATGGAAACATAAGGGGACTGTTTGACGTCCTCAAGATAATAAAAAGATGTAGAGAGTTCACATACCTACATAAATATTTTGTACTCCAATTTCAATATTCAAAGTTGGAATTCTCCATGAATTCAGACTATGAAATCATTTATTTTTACAGAGCGTTATTGGAGATTTTTCTAAAAATGTTCATAAGAAATTAAAGTGATTTTTAGGATCTTTTAAGGGCGTTCAAGAAGCTAGCCACCAGTGAATAGTATAATTCACTGGATTTAAGAAGTTCTAGAATATGCTTTAAAGATACCATATACTTTACAACGAAAAGACTTATTGAGGGACTAAACAATACATTAATGACATACGGACAATTTGTCGTGGCAAGAATAGCGGTGCCACGATGTCACATGAAACAGGGCACGAATGTTCAAGAGCCTCACTGAGTAGGTGCCACTAATTTAACACAAGTCAGTGAAATTAATTGCTCTGGAGCTAAGGATCCAGTCATCTGGTGCAAAACAAATGACGTTTTCAGAACAAAAAACGGTTTTATATGCTGAATGTCAACTTTACAATGAAAACTGCAAAAATCCTTGGTATTCTTCTGCAGCAGGCTACAGCCAAGCATGCATTCAAATAATCCATTGCAGTAGGGTGTTGGTAACTGCTATACCCTTAACCTTGCCCTTAACATATTGTTTCATAGGGTCCATGTTCAAAATGAACATTATTTTGCTTGACGCTCACACCAAATATAATTTATATATTAAAATCTCGACCACACTGTACTTCATTACAGCGAGATAGTTAGACCTACCCTGAAGGCCAAGGACCTTCCAAATATCAACAAATTCAGAATGAAATTCAGAACAGGACAGAAAAATTCTTGTGACACATACACTTTGGTTAGATTCTATTGTATTTTCTTAAATGGTTATATAAACCAATTAACCTTCAAACCTACTTGTTTCCCCTTCACAATAGCGCCTTCGTGCAGAATTATTGTTACAATTTCTATATCCGGCCTTACAATTATCTCTTCCACCTCGCCTTTAGCCAACATTTGATACAAAAATTCATTCCACGACACGTATCTCACCACCTGCAAAAATCTGTCCTTAATTTATTAAGGGAAAACAACAGAACGTACGTCCGGCTGATTACTACTCGGGACCAATATAGAGATGACTGCGATAACCATGTAGGCCGTTAACATCCACATGAACGCCTTCGCCAGTAACGCCGGGAGCTTATCTTTATCCTCGTCGTCATCTTTCTGCGGCCCTTTGCCTTCTCCTTCGCTGGGCTTTTTGGGTTGTTCTTGTTTGTCGGGAGGCTGAGTTGTGTAATACCGAAGAGATTCCACATTTTGTAAGCCCGAACGGTATAACAGCGAGTGTACTGCTGCATATTCTCTATTAATAGTTCTCAGTAGCTAAAATAAGATGATGAGCCAGTTATATGTTTACAATTCACTTACTTTTGGTTTAATTACAGTTCCTGTGTTCACATTTTTATTGAAAATTCTACAGTCATTTCTTACAGCCTTCGAAAATAATCCTTTGAGTAGAAATCGCATTTTTGTTATGATTTTAACTTTAACATTTTAATTTAGTTAGGTTATGTTATTGTCAGATGTTATTTTACCGGCGTTGTCATCTCTTTTTATCCTGTACATTGCGTATATGTCCTTTTGCCTGTATCTCTAGCATTTGGAAGTGGATATTGACGTCCAGCTGAGTAATGGCCGCGTTCAATTTCAGGTTTCTTAGCTACTTGCATTTTAAAATGTCCTCGTTTTCAGTTGACTATCCTAAAACAAAGATATTTGTCAATATCTATTTCAAATATTGAATTAAACATTTTTTCACGCTTCCGTCTCTGTAAGAGTAAGTTCTATACATGACAGTCAAATGTAAGGCTCCAATTGCATTATTAGAGTATTGGTTGCTATTGACAGCAGACTTTACCATCTTATTACTTACATGCCGAGGAAAATAATGACTTATCTGTCACATTTGGCATTTGCACAATCCATCTCCCGCGATTCCGTTAATCATTTGGGCGAAAAATGTAATAAGCAACACGGAATGTAGTTACTATTAACCTTCTTGGAAGAATAATATTCCTCGGCTATCGCCTCGGAATATTATGAACTTCCTCGAAGCTTAAATCGCTACTTACAGTCCTTGTAGCTTAAATAACTATTAAGTTAGGTAGGTTACTTATTGTGTCTTGAAATGTGGAGTTCAAACAGGGCACTTAAGCCTTCCAAGACCCACTTCGATCAGCTTCTCCAGCTCCATCTCCTCTACTTTAAGTGGTACATCATTCCTTAGTCAGCAGCAGGCTTGGGGAATCCCAGCGACACAACGGTGACCACGGACCAATAAGAGGAGTGATTGGTAGCCCCACTACCCGACAAACACCCTGTCGGACACCCTCTTCTGACAATCCGTTCTGGAGATATAAGGAAATATATCCGAGCACGGTAAGGGGTCGAGGAGGAGGACTATTTGTTAGAAAGAATTCCTTTTGTTAAGACTTTGCATTATGAGGGATAAAACCAGTTCTACTCCTCCCCTCTCCTCTCCAACCCTAGTGTTGATAAGGGATCAGAAAAAGGGCGATAGTTGGTAGAAAACGGTTCCTTTCGTTGAGACATTTAATTAGAATACCATGACAGAAAACATTAATTTAACCCCTCCCCTCCATCCCCCCCTCCAGGCATCATCAGCCGCTGATCTCGAAAAAGAGTCGCGCGGGAAAGTTATATAATGTATACAAACCAATTTATTTCGATGAGACCTTTCATTAGAATACCACGAAGAGTAAAACGTATGCCCCCCCCCCCTTTCAACAGCAGGTAGGCAATTGATTGTCGTATATAACAGGTATGCACGATTTACTTTCAAAAACAACATCTCAGGAAATAATTCATGGGAGGGGGGGGGGGGGCTTGGGGCAGGGAAATTTTATAGCCGTCTGGAACACCGTCAAGGTCTAATGAAAAATTCCAGGACTCTAGCACCAGTCCCCTAGAAGTAGTTCAAAACGGCAGAAGTGGGTCCGGGCGGATGGACGGACGGACAGACAGACTAAACGCAAACAATAGCACATTTTTTTAGGTCCTAAAAATGACCCCCCCCTCCACTTTTTCCGACGGAAATTCACGTTTTAGAGCATCAGGAATCCGATTCAATGTCGAACAGTCTCTCTGTCTGTTTTGTGCACATATTCTGAGTCATAAATGTCTGAATTTTTTGGTGTGTAATTAAAGACTTTGAAATTGTTATGCGTTCGACGATTCTTTAACTTATCATTATTGTTGGTTGTTTAATTCCACCGTTCACAATTAAAGACTGAAAATATAAGTTAGACGACGATTTCTTAAATTATCCGTATTGTTGGTTGCATAATTAAACTGATCACATTTAAAATGCTTGAAAGTAACGTAACCAAATGTGACGTTTTAAGCGATCCTTGCTTTAAGGTGTAATTACTAATTACATTGATTGTAAATAAATAAAATGGCGGTCTTATCCCACCAATAGAAATTACAATTTGTGGTCACAAGAGGTTTCACTGTTAATCTGAATCGCGAATAGTACGCCTCTCTTTTATGATGTACAGTAGACATCCCAATTCCCAAGTGTGGTCGATTTTGCCTTTCATTTGGTAAACCCAGGCATGTGCCCAAACTTAGTTATTTATATGCACATAAAACAGAAACAATTTGTTTTTGAAAAAACGCTCCCCGTTACTTGTCAAATATGCATGAAGGAGGAAGGCGCGAAAAGAGGGCGAGGAGTGAGTCATGAGTGAATGGAAAGCGACGCAAAGAAACATGTACAGGGTGGCTCAAATTCGTAGTTGACTAAAAAATCGACGCATTGCAATGAAATAAAAAAATTAAAAAGAGGTTGTCGCCCTAAAGGCGAGTAACCATATCGCATTTTCCATGCATTGATCATTATTTCCCAAAAAGCCATACCTATGTGAACTATGTTTTTATTAGAAGCATCTATGGTTAAAATTTCAAATTCTCCATAAATAAATAAGTTGGCATTGCGCAATCTGCGCATGCGCATACCTGGTTTTTATAATGTGCGCTATGTTTGCCATTACTAGATGCATCTCTGTTTAAAATTAAAAAAAAAGAAAGTGATATTGCGCAGCCTGCTCATGCGCACATTAATCATCCATATTTTTCTTGGCTCAGAAAAAAGAACTAAAAATTTTGAAAACTGTAAGAGTAGTTAAGGCCTCGAACGGACGGATGGAAAAAGTGGCCATAATAGCGCCTTCCAGCCTGAGTGGGAAAATGCGCTAAAATGCTTACCTACTAGATTTTTATTACATTGCAAAAAAATCCAATATGGCGTCTATAAGAAATAAGAAATGATCAAAGTCCTCGTGTGAGATCGAAGGGACTTCAGCGCATTTTTGTGTGGCCGATCAGTGTTTTATTAGCCAATATTGACTCCACCATCAATATAAGATCTTGCCGAAAGCTACCACGTTCACTTTGTCGGTACCATTTTCTCACTTACCGTGCACTCGCAATTCGCGTTTGAAGTTTTAACTCCACCATCAGTAAGATCTCGTCAGGGGTTACCACATTCCCTTTGTCGATACACAGTTCCGACGTCCCGTTCATTCGTAATTCACATTTTGGTAGATTTCGCTAAAATCCCGGCATAAAATCGTATTCAACTTTTGGGTACTTCACATAGCTCGACCTTCTATTAGTGACACGAGAAAGAGAGACCGCGATTCGCGCTGTAAGAAACTTTTGGGCGCCCAAAGTCGACAACCCCTCGAAGCGCGCCGCGCAAAAGGTGGTTTATTTCGCCCCTAGGAAAAAAAAAACAAAATTCCGCCACGCAGGAGTTGTGCGCGTTGACAAGATCTTCCCGACGACACCAATTTGAAAACAATCGGAGAAAAACTGTAGAAGAAGATAGATAAAAACTGCAAAATCTCCAGGTTAGTATAATACGCTCGGGGATGGCGTCCAGATGTCGTCGACTCCAAATCTTGTAGCTCCATCCCTAACGTTCTTAATTACACGGCCCCGATAGTTACATGTACACTCTTTGTCTTTTTACAAGCGTTTTTCTACGGGCGCGCATTTACTGCCAGCCAGCCAGCCAAAGTGAGATTAAAAGCTACTTTTTACAAAAAAAATTTTTGCAAAAATGCGCTAAAAAGTAGTAGCCTGTAGCTTCTACATCTAGCGTGTTATGGAAATTGTGATAACAGATTCTGATTCTCTGAAAAAAACTGCCCGTTGTAGGTGCTAACGGGAACCATCTATTTCCGTACGTTTGGACATTTTGCGATCAAATTTGGTGCATAAAGATTTTGGTATTCAGTCCACTGTAGTAGGTAGGTACTTTTAACTTTCTGTCTTTCAAATTTCCAAATGTATGTAATCTCTGTCTGTAACATCATTTAAATACCTATAGGGTCAGCGAAGTGTTCTAACATAGATAGGAAAACTGATGTGCGCAACAGTTGTCTTTATTACTTAATTACCTATAATAACAATTGCTGATGCTATTACAGTAATAACAATAGTATACTGGAATAATTATGCAGGAAAGCGAAGGTCACATAAAGAAGAATTCATTCAATTCGTCTAATGTCATCAGCTGAGATGGATTTTTATCGTAAATGGATTTTCCAAATAGGTTCGAATTAAATGGGCAACGGCATTGTGTTAAACTGGACGAGGGGCGCTAAAATAATATTGATGTAAGCTGCCGCGTGAAGTCGAACAGAAATTTCCCCCCTATATAGAATTCGGGCATTGTGACAGGCTTGGCTACGATTGGTCGCAATCGCCATATTGAATATATTCTTCTTTTGTTTGACATCACCTTAATGTCCAAGTCCAACATATTCATCGCGACAAGTACACAAACCCTCCGAATAAAATATTCATCCACGTCATGTTAAATTAAATGAACAACGCGACACTTTGGAAAGACACGCACTATTAAGTGTTTTCATAATGGCGCGCGCGGTACTCGGAATTTTAAATTGTCACTCGTCTTGATAATTGTATTTTTAACTGTAGTGTCTTTTTTTATACATACAAATTTATGGGAAAGTATACAAAAATCCGGCGATTGTAATGGATTTTACTAATAAATTTATTTTATGTTGTTGTTGTATGTCAGAAGCTTCAGACTTTATTAGTGTTTATTTCTAAACGAGCGATGTGCTCTTCTCTCCTAAATTATAAAAATGAAATAAAATTCTCTTAACGGGAATCGAAACTAATGCGAACTTATTTTTTAACGCTATCTGAAGTATATAGGTAGCAAAAGTGCAATATACAAGCGGTTTCACGCAAACCGTTACCTAAAAGTAGTCAGTCTCCCATTAATAATTTAGATAAATCTGAAAATAGAAACCCCTGTATTTTATTGCATTTTCCAAATTACATCGTTAATCGTTCGATACAACATACAAAGTATGCATAACGGTCGCAATTTTAGAAAATAAAAAAAGGCACCACGAAGGCATGACAAATAATATTGACCTTTCTTACCTATCTGTTAATCATAAAACATAATTATGCGTATTTTAAGGATTTTCTTTACCATTCTGCAGTTAAAAAATATTAGCTTTCATAAACTGTATCTAATGGTAAGGTAATGTAACTAGGTAGGAAAGTCTCACTGCATTCTTTGTTATTTAAATACTGAAATATAATAATCTCACTTTTATGGTCTTAACTACGCGATAAATATGTAAGTACCAATACCTAGGGTAACAGTATTAGGATATGTCATATGTCCA